ACGATCGGGGCCATCAGACCTGGGAGTCAGGGACGGTCAGTACCATTAGATCTGGGAGTCAGGGATGGTCAGTACCATCAGATCCGGGGAGTTGGGTACGGTCAGGCCATCAGACTTGGAGGGCTGGCCTGGTCAGTGCTGTGAGAACTGGGACTTGGGCCCGTGGGTTCTCCGAGCAGGCCTCTGGTGAGAAACAGCCTGAGCGATAGGCCGGGCTTGCCCTGGGAGAGCAGAACTGCTGAGGGCGTGTCCCTGCCAACAAGGGCCTGGCCACAGTAGGGTCCTCTCCACACAGCGGCCAACACCGAGAATGAGCCTGCGGCTGGAGTTGGGCTGATGCTGGGAGTGTCAGGAAGGCCAAGTCCAGTCCTGGGCAGTCTCACCCCAGGGTGGTGGCAACTGGCCAGAAACGAAACCAAGCCCCGGACTGAAGAGACACCAGTGGCTACGAGAAGGCACAAGCCGTGACCACACCTGGCCCAATTTCGGTCCCCTGAGCAGTCAGGAGGAAGCCAAGAGCACAGCGGTGTCACCCACCGTCCCCGCTCAATAAAAAACACCACGGAACTCCCACGGGATGGGGGAGGGACTGTCGCTGGGTGGCAGAGACTGGGACTTTGGTACTGGAGTGACAGTGAATCGCGGAGTCACTGTAAACCTGCAAATCAGTTTGGATGAGTTTTGAGTCTGACGCTTCCTCCCCGACCGCCCGTGTGATCATGGCCCACCGGGGGTGACCGCTGAACAGACTGAGCGATAGTCTGGATCACGTTAGAAGATGCTACAACTTGGCAATCCAGCCCGGGAAAGTCCCAGCCCCTCCACAGTGACGTCACGAGCGCTGCCCTCGGGGGTACAAGAGCAAACTTGCAACCATGTGCTGACCACAGGCTCCGCGAGAAGCAGGGAGAACGGGCATGCATGAGCGGGTCTTCCTGCTCAGCACTCGCGCAGAATCCAGGCCTCCTTCAATGGGGGGACAGGCTTAGCAATCAAAAGGAGGAGGAGGAGGAGGGGGTGCTGAAATGGGCACATAATGCGGGGGACCCTGAGAACAGCACCAGGAAACAGTCCAAAGGTCAAGAAAAGTGCTCCTGTGACAGAAAGCCAGGAACAGGCATGCAGGAGGGAAAAGCACGGACAAGCGGAGAAGTGGGCCGAAATAGGTTTACTGATGCGCTCCCGGGCAAGGGTCCAGGGCCCCAAGAGGACAGCGAGGTCGTGCCCAACATGCATTCTGGAGGGTCCAGTGAAGCACAGCTCTGGGCTGTGGGGGAAGCTCGGGGAAGGGGAGGCCGGTGCCAGGCTCTCCGGCAGGTGCCAGAAGTCCAATGGCAATAAGAGATCCCAAGGCAGGGAAACAGGAAATGCTGGGCACTAGTTCCTGGGCAATTCGGAACCCCTGGGTGTGGTTTCCGAGCTCACACGCTCATCAGTGATTTCAAGGAATCCTCTGGCCCTGAGCCCCCTGGTCCCACCCAGACCCAGTGTCGCACAGGCAGGCTGGGGTGGGAGGGAAGAGAGGGGCGTGGGCGGAAGGGACACTGGGGAGGGACGGGTGTTTCTTCTGCTGTTTCTTCGCTGCTCTGAGCAAAAGGGTTCCCTGAAACCGTCTTGTTTCCTGTCTCAGGATTCAAACCTGCAATTCCTTAAGGGCCCCGGGGTGACACCTTCATGCTCCACGCATGCCTGGGTCCAGGACCGATCCCTGACACCGCAGACTCCTGAGCACTGTCAGTGCAACTCTAGAGGCAACACAGTGCAAAGAGCTGTGCACCCCAGCACTAAGCTTGGCTTCCAGGACGCCTAACGTTTCGACATGGTTCATTTCAACGGAGTTCACTGCTGTGCTCACACGTGCGCGTGTACCTGTGCGTGTGTGCATGTGTGCGTGCATGCCTGTGTGTGCGTGTGCATGTGTGTGCACGCATGCGTATGTGTACGTGTATTGTGTATGTGTGCGCATGTGTGCATGTGTGCATATGTGTGTGCATGCATGTGTGTACGTGTGCATGCATGTGTACATGTGTATGTGAATTTGTGTCTGCATACATGTGTGCATGTGCATGTGTGCATGTATGTGTATTGTGTATGAGTGCATGTGTGCATGTGTGCATACGTGTGCATGCATGTGTACATGTGTATGTATATTTGTCTGCGTACATGTGTGCGTGTACACACACGTGTGTGCATGTGTGCGTGTTTACGTGTGCTTGTGCATGCCTGTGTGCATGTGTGTGCACATGTGTACGTGCATGTGCATGTGCATGTATGTGTGCGTGCATGCATGTGTGTGTACATGTAGATATGTACGTGTGTGCGTGTATTATGCATGTGTGCACACATGTGAGTACGTGCATCCACAGTGCTCCATGCAAGTGATTCTCAACCATGCCCATAAGTGCTCAGGGCTTACTCCTGGCTCTGTGCTCTGGGGTCACTCCTGGCAGGGGCCCCATGCAGTGCCCAGGAGGGAATAGGGTCGGCGGCAGGGAAAGCCAGCATGCTGTCCTGTACTGTCTCCAGTACCACCTTCTGCCGTTTCCTTCTTCTTCTCCACTGTCCATCCAACCATCTGATCTCATGCTGTGTCCTATTTCTTCACCTGTTGTCTCCTTCACTCAACTGAAAACAGTGCTTTAAATTCCTGAGTACCCATGAGCACGCACACACACGTGCACATGTGAGCACTGGCCCTGGGAGCTCACGTGTCCACAAGTCACTAGTCACTTCACTGTATAAAGCCAAGCACAGTCCCAAGTGGTTCTCAGCACACACACACACACACACACACACACACACACACACACACACACATTTCACAGGGTCTTCTCTCCCTCATGACTATTCGAAAGACTATCTTTCAACTTAAATCTAGAAGTGCCTTGAATTTAAGTTTTTCTAAATTTCAGTCTCCAACAACAGAAGAAAAATGCAAACAGTGCGCCAGATGGCTAGCTCTGTGCCTCGGAGCTCAGGACTTGCAAAAAAGTCAAGACTTGACCCCCAGCACTGCAGCCCCGAGTACGGCCAGGGGTGACCCCCAATCACCAAGCCAGGAGTACCCCCTGAGCTGCCAAGTGTGGCTCATAATTATTTTAAAAACTTTGGAAATGCTTTGCTACTAAACAAGTTTTAAAGAAAACACCTAGGATCGAAGAGATAGTTCAAGGAGTCGGGTGCATTCCTGGCAGGCGTGAGGCCCATTGAACACTGGCCCTGGATGGCCCCCCAGCACTGGCCGGTGAATGGCCCTGGTGGTCCCAGGGAAGGGATTATGAAAACAATTCAAAACTCTCTGACTTGAAGCTGGGGCAATTGTACTGAGGATAGGATATCTGCTTTGCATACAGCTGACCCGGGTTCCAGGGTTCCATCCCCAGCACCCCAGAAGGACCCCCAAACCCCGTCAGGAGTAATTCCTGAGTGCAGAGCCAGGAGTAACCCCTGAGCATTGCTCAGAAAACATGGCCAAAAGTCATGAAATACATCAGAAAACACGGGCCAGGGAGAAAGCTCAACACACACACACACACACACACACACACACACACACACACGAAAGCCCAGTTAGAATCAGCCTGGAACAGACATGCTCCTGAGGGGGGACTTGCTCCCGAGTGAGAAACCGTTGGCTCAAGCAGAAAGGCAGCACCCTAGCGGCCAGCTGAGCAGCCTGAGGCCTCGGCCCTACGCTGGGGGTCTGGCACCCACAAGCAGCACCCATATCCTTGCCAGGCCCTGAGGGGTCTCTCTTGGACACTTATGCAACCCATTTCTGTGGTTCCAGGACACAATTTCACCTGAGTGTTTGTATTTTTCCCTGGAGAAAACTCAGGTGCGCAACCACTTCCGACTCGGGATGAAGCAATTTCACGGTCAAGTTACATCTGTATTTATGACAAAACAAAAAACAGTGGCAAGCTACCGTGAAACATGTGAACATGTGGACATACATAAGGACCACTAGGGGGCCTGTGTGTGTGTGTGTGTGTGTGTGTGTGTGTGTGTGTGTGTGTGTGTGTGTGGTGGAGCTAGAATCAAAGGCTGGTCCCACAGATTGAAGGCACGTACTCAGCACTGAGTCACGTTCCTGGCCAAAATGATTCTCTGGGGGAAGGGGGTGGGGGGAGGGGAAGATTCCAGAAATCGAACCCAGGCTCTCAAACATACAAGATAAGTGTTTCATAGCTAAGCTATATTCCCAGCCCATCCACTGGGTGTTATCTACCAGAAATTACCTACAAAAAGAGGATTACTTACAAAAAGAGAAATTTTCCATAGAAAACCTGAGTATTTCCCTAGGAAAGTGAATTTTTTAAAAAAATTGTTAGTTTTTTCGTTTTGATTTGGGGGCCACACCTGGAGATGCTCAGGGGTTCCTCCTGATTCTGCACTCAGGAATCACTCCTGGCACTGCTTGGGGAACCATATGGGTTGCCGGGGATGGAACCCAAGCTGACCGCGTGCAAGGCCAATGCCCTCCCACTGGACTCTCCCGCTGGTCCTTGGAAAGTGAATTTAGTATTTTACTGCTAAGCAGCTGGAGCGATAGCACAGCAGTAGGGCATCTGCCTTGCACGCAGCCGGCCCGGCCGAGCCGGGTTCGAGTCCTCCACCCCTCTCAGAGAGCCTGGCAAGCTACAGAGAGTATCTTGCCCGCATGGCAAAGCCTTGCAAGCTACCCGTGACGTATTCAATATGCGAAACACAGTAACAACAAGTCTCACAATGGAGACGTTACTGGGCCCGCTCGAGCAAATCGATGAACAACGGGAGCACCGTGACTGGGACCGGGACCGTGACCGGGACCGTGACCGTGACCGTGACTGCTAAACAGTAGACCAAACCAGTAACTAGGTTTTGTGGAAGTGCAGCAGAGCAAAATGAGCCAGGTTCCCTGGTAAGCTCTACAGCCCTGTGAGGCGATACCGTTATGGTTCTACAATGACCGTTACAACCTCCCAGCTGCTGGCGCTCTCGGAAGACATTCAAAAAGATGACATCGTACAAAGCATTTAATATTTCTAAACAGTCGCCCATAACAAAATTTTAACACAAGAAATTGACTCTTAGCATTAAACTCTGTCCGTCAAAGACCCAAAAGAACTATATTAAGGAATTGTACAACACGGGCAGGCGCAGCCATTCAAGAGGCCACAAACGCGGAGGGCGTTGCCGTGCACGGCTCTCGCTTCACTTCTTACAAGCCTTGTAGCGCTCCGTGACATTCTCCCAGTTGATGACATTCCAAATCGCTTTCAGGTAATCGGGCCGGACGTTTTTTGTACTGCAGGTAGTACGCATGCTCCCACACGTCGATCCCCAGCAGTGGAATAAGGCCTGTGGGAAAGAGGAGAACCTTGGGTTTCACCCGGGAACAAAGCATCCTCTTGGGCGAAACAGACAGCACGGAACTGTGACGCAGTCGGAGTCGACCTTCCCCACAGCCTCCTCCACCTGCCCGCTTCTTGCAAAAAGAGAAAATCCGCCTCAGTAAAAAACAGCCTATTTAAATATTCTACACTTTGCTCTTTGGGTAGGTAGGGGGGATATGGGGGAGAGGGCATGGGGGGGGGGGGGCCTGTGGGCTGTGAGAGTAAAAATCCAACAGAACTGCAAAATGAAAAGTGAGGTCTGAGGGGCCAAACAGATGGAAGAGGTGAGGGCCCTGGCTGGCACCCAGTTCGAATCCCAGCACCAGAAGGGCGCCCCAGCACCTTCAGGGTCATTTCTGAGCAGACTTTGGAAACCCCCTGAGCGTCACCCTGTGATCCCTGAACACAGAGCCTGGACTACGCCTCACACCGTCCCCGCCCACCCGCCCGCCCTCCTGGATCCAGCACAGCGCTCTGGGAACCCACGCCCCCTGGGCCCCGTGACTGACCGGTTGTCCCTTGCAGGGGGTCCTGGTTGGCGCAGGCAGCGATCTGCAGGCGGCCCTGCTCCTTGTTGAAGCCGAGCCAGCCCCAGCCGGAGCCCTGGACACCCACAGACACGGCGGTCAGCTTCTCCTTGAACTTGTCAAAGGAGCCAAAGTCCCGTTTGATGGCCTCCAGCAGCTCCCCTGCAAGAGAGACCCAGAGACAGCGATGGGTGAGACGGTGACCGCCAGCTCACGCGCCTCCTTGCCTCATCTGCTGAGACATGTGAGAGTGTGTGTGTGTGTGTGTGTGTGTGTGTGTGTGTCTGTCTGTCTGTCTGACAGGGGAGGCCGGGCCTCACCCACTGCTCTCTCTCCATCAGGAAGGCGGCATCTGGGGCCACTGACCTGCAGGCAGCTGAGCTGGGTTGGATCCCGGCATCACCCAGGGTGCCCTGAGTTCAGTCAGGAGTGATCCCTGAGCACCGTCTCCCCTGGGGGCCTTCTGGGGCGTGTGGGTTGGGGGCCATACCTGGCAGTGCTGGGAGGACCAGATAAGGGAGGGGAGGAGATGAACCGGGGCCAGCCACGTGGAGGCCTGAACCCTGCCTCGCGCTCACTCCTGCCGCAGCGTCTGACCTGGGTTCACGGGACACGGGGCAGAGTCTTCCTGACCGCCAGGTGCGTTTCCACCAACGGTGGGCATCGGCCGTGCAGATGGGTCTTTAGTCCCTGGCACAGACATTCCCCCGACTTTCCCAGTAACGGGAGACCCACGGGGCAGACGCCCTCACGCTCCCCAGGTCTCTGCTGTTTTGTCTGGGGGCCACACCGGGCTGTGCCCAGGGCTTACTCGTGGCCAACACTGAGGAATCATTCCTGGCGGTGCTCAGGGACCACAGGGGATGCCGGGGATTGAACTCCGGTGAGCCACGTGCGAGAGAAGCACCCCCTGCCCCCCGCGCTGTGCTGCCATCCAGGCCTCAGCCAACACCCGCTGGCAGATGCTCTGTGACACGCCTCCAGCCACGCCAATGCCCACAGAGCCGCTCTGGAAGGAAGACACCCACCCGTCCTCCTGAGGCCACCTTGCCCCACAGGACAGGACAAATCCGATGCCCCCAAAACGAAACCGTGGCATTAGCGGTTCCCACATGTATCTGACCGACCACCCGATTTTCAGGAAAAGAAAAAAAACAATCAGGGTCTCCCCTGGAACTCTATCTCCAAACGAACAAACGGACCCCAACTGCAACCAAGGCCACTGGTGTCCCAGGTCAACCTGACACCCCATCTCGGGAGTCTGGGCCTGCGGGTACCAAGAGTTCCACAGCACTGACGGTCTCCACATGGTGCCCACGTGTCCTCTGAGGGCCGGTCAATGTCCCACGAGACACCTGGGTCCGGCAGCCCGCCTCCCACCCACAGCGTCTGGTCCAGGACACCACCTCCGGGAAGCAGCCACCATCCCCGCAGCCCAACGGCGCCTCAGCCGCGTCACCAGGAGGAAACGCCCCGACTGCCAAACCCAATGGCGGCCACGCTGGCTCAGGGCCAGTTAGGTACCCGGTCACTAGACACTAGCAACCAAGAACTGAGCAGCAAGGGCTGAACACAGAGCACAGGGGGTAGGGTGTCCCCCTACCCAGGGTCGAGCCTCCGCCCATCCCAGTACCACCCATGGCCAGGGGTCACTCCTGAGCACGCAACCAGGAACAGCCCGAGTGCCGTCCGATTTTTTATTTTTGTTTTGTTCTGTTTTTTGGGACACACCCAGTGGTGCTCAGGATTTACTCCTGGCTCTGTGCTCAGGGGACCATATGGGGTGCCAGAGACCGAGCCCAGGTTGGCACGTGCGAGGCAAGAGCACCCTATCGCCCTGGCTCCTGAAAAAACTATTAAAATAAGGACTCCCTGAACTATGGTGCACATCCTCCATTCCCAGCCCATCCTCCCCATCCCTTGCTCTGACCCCCCTCCCCTGCCCCGTCCTCCCCCTCCCCTGCCCCGTCCTCCCCCTCCCCTGCCCCGTCCTCCCCCTCCCCTGCCCCGTCCTCCCCCTCCCCTGCCCCGTCCTGCCCCTCCCCTGCCCCGTCCCCCCCCTCCCTTTCTCTGACCCCCCTCCCCTATTCCATTACCCCCCATCCCCTAACCCATCCTCCCCCTCCCCTGGGCCACTCTTTCTCCAGCTGCGTTCACTGCTGGCCCAAGGAGCAGGCGTCAGGGTCCTCAGAGAGAACCAAACTAACAGGAAAATGGCCCAAACTCGCGCTAGAACTGCAGCTTCGCTACTCACCTTTGGGTTCCCCGCCACCATTCGGGCTCAGGTTTGTCCAGAAGATGGTGTGGTTGATGTGGCCTCCGCCGTTGAACCTGAGCGCGGGCTGCAGGGCCACCTGCGTGGTGACGTCACCTGGCAGCAAAGCAGAAACGGGGTTTGAAAGCCTCCCCTGACCGCTCGGGAAAACACGTCAGATCACCCCACACGCGGCGCTGCCCCTCGCCCCAAAAGAGGCCCAAAACCATCTGTCCAGGGGGGTTCCAGGCCAATTAGGAACGGGCTGCATTTGACAAGAGGCTCTGATACGTCTGGGCCTAGGTATTCTGTAAAAGTGGGAATAAATAGGCTGAAAGACTGAATTGCGGGAAGGCCGATAAAATTCACTGCCAGGGCTGGAGCGATGGTACAGTGGGGAGGGCGTTTCCCTTGCACGGCCGACTCAGGCTCAACTGCCAGCATCCCACATGGTCCCCCGAGCACCGCCAGGAGTCATTCCTGAGTGCTGAGCCAGGAGTCAGCCCTTTGCATCGCCAGGTGTGACCAAAAAACGGGGGGGCTGGGGGGGAGAAAAGAAACTTGCCCCAACTCTATCTCTGGCACCACATATGGCACCCCTGTCCCTACCCCAAGACAGGTGTGACCCAAATTCCAAAGGAGAGGAAAAAAGATCACCGAAGAAAACGCTCAGGTGTGTATTTGAGGCAAGAGAGACCCTACAGCAGGTAAGCGGCCAGGCCGGGTTCAGTCCCCAGCACGCGACATGGTCCTCCAAGCCCCACCAGGAGTGACCCCTGCGTGCAGAGCCAGGAGTGAGTCCAACGTCATGCTTGGAAACTTTCATGCACCTTTGCTAAACATGGAGGCCAGATACCTTCCGGAAGCCGCAGATGGGCCCAGGATGGAGCTCGGGGGAGGACCATGGGTCCAGGTCCCTGTTCCAAGAACACACACACGCACACACGCGCACACACACGTGCACATGCACACATGTACACGTGCTACAGAAGCACTGAATTATTACAGAAAACGAGACTCCCCTGCTCGGGCCATGCTATTCATCACCAGAAGCCACCAGAGGCAACTCAAGGACAGAGGCAGCAGCGACCTTGGAGCTAAGTTACGTAACCGAGAAGCCACCGCAGAAAACACGAGAGAGAAACTGGCTTTCCGAGGCCAGAGAGAGGGTCCAGCGGGGAGGGCACCTGCCAGCCTTTGTTTGATTTTGTTTTTTTATGAGGGGCCACAGGGCGCAGTGCTCAAGGATCACTCCTGGCAAGCTCAAGGTGCGGGGAATTGAACGACTGCATGCCAGGCAAGTGCCCCACCCGACGTACTTTGGCTCTGGGCCCTCACACACAGCTGAGCCGGGTTCAATCCCCAGCACCCCATATGGTCCCTGGAGTCTACCAGGAGTGATCCCTGAGCACAGAATGAGGAGTGAGTCCCGAACACTGCTGGGTATGGCCCAAGAAAGAAAACTGGGGGAAAAAAACCAGTTTCTTGCACTGCAGGGCCAGTCCCGCACCCCCAGGGCATTCCCCAGCTACAGAGCAGCTTTCGGGCTCGGTATGGACCCAGCACAGCAGCTTCCTGGCTTTGGATGGCCCCCAAGGCCTCCTTGCCGGTGTCCCACCTCCATGAGTTTGCATACAGCCCTATACTGTATCTCCCTTACTAAGTTTTCCCCCACGCTGACGCTAAAAGTAAATACAGATAGATATAAGCTTTTTTTTTTTTTTAAATGAAGGTAATAAGGAATTTTACTCCATGGCTTGGAGGCCAGCCACACATGCTAGGGGAAAAGGGAGCTCAGATAGAGAAGGGAGCACCAAGTAAAGGGTGTTGGGAGGATCCTCCCAGGATGGGAGAAGCATGCTGAAAGTAGACTATAGACCAAACATGATTGCCACTCAATGCCTCTTTTGCAAATCACAGCACCCAAAAGGAGAGAGAGAACAAAAGGGAATGCCCTGCCACAGAGGCAGGGTGGGGTGGGAGGGGATGGGTGGTGGGAGGGATACTGGGATCCGTGGTGGTGGGAAACGGGCACAGGTGGAGGGATGGGTGTTTGATCATTGTATAATTGAAACCCAAGCACAAAAATTTGTAAGTCTACAACTGTACCTCATGGTGTCTCACTAATAAAAATTTTTAAAAAATTTTTAAAAATGAAGGTAATAGTGTTGCAAAAGTAGCTCTGGAAGCAACATTTCATTATTAAGGTGTAAAGGTTGTTTTCTTTTTTTTTTTTTTGCTTTTTTGGGTCATACCCAGCGATGCTCAGGGGTTACTCCTGGTTATTCCTGGCTCAGGAATTACTCCTCCTGGCTCAGGAATTACTCCTAGAGGTGCTCGAGGGACCATATGGGATGCTGGGGGATCAAACCCTGGTCGGCCGCGTGCAAGGCAAACACCCTACCCGCTGTGCTATCACTCCAGTTCCAGGTTGATTTATTTTTTAAAAAGGAGTCTTGGGGGGGGGGGGGCTGGAGCGATAGCACAGCGGGTAAGGCGTTCGCCTTGCATGCAGCCAACATGGCCGACACAGTTCGATTCCCAGCATCCCATGTGGTCCCCCAAGCACCGCCAGGAGTGATTCCTGAGTGCATGACCCAGGAGTGACCCCTGAGCATCGCCGGGTGTGACCCAAAAAGCAAAAAAAAGAGTCTTGGGACGAAAGCTAACAGTACACTAAAGCTAATAGTACAAGTACATAGGGCACTTGCCTTGCCTTGCATACAGCCGACCTTAGTTCCATCCCCAGCATCCTATGTGGTTCCCACAAGCATCACCAGCAGTTCCTGAGCACAGAGCCAGGAGTAGGCCCTGAGCACCGCCAGGTGTGGCCCAAAAATTAAATTAAAATGTTTTACCAAATTGACTCCTACATTACAAAAAAAATTACCAATTTGTAGTTACAGTATTTTAAACGAGAAACATGCTTATTGAAAAAAAAAATTGTCTGATCCTCCAGTATCTCTTTTGTTTTCGGTTTAGGGCTACTCCTGGCTCTGTGCTCAGGAAGTTATGCAGAGTCCAATCTCGAACCCAGGCCTCCTACACACAAAACCTGATCCCCAGCCCCCAGACTTCATTTCAGTACCTTCAAGTCAACACAATCACTGCAGAATGGTAGGGGGAATTTGGGGAATATGATTGAAGACACCTTTCTGAAGGGGGCTAGAGAGATTGCTTGAAGGATTAAGGGCACATTTTGCATGCAGGATGCTGAAATCATTTCTCCCCTCACCCCCCCAGAACTTCCAGGAACAAACATCAGCAGAGAACTGGAACCACCCAAGCACCACTGGGTGTGGCCCACAACTCCCACAATGGGCTGGAGAGATAGTGCTGTTCACACGGCCAACTCGGGTTCGATCCCCAGCATCCCCTATGGTCCTCCCAGCTCCACCAGGAAGTGACTCATGTGTTCAGAGCCAGGAGAAACCCTTGAGCATCGCCGGGTACAGCCCCAAAAAAGAACTTTCTGAAGATAACCGCCTTCAGGGTCACTTCAGTTCCCTTCCTGTGAAAAGTATTTGTCACTTACAAGAATTAGTGTCACTAATAAATATAACATTTCTGCTTACATTTCTTCCCCAACCCCAAGTTTCCACATGTGGAAATTTAGGACCTTGGTAATTTTTCATACATAATTTTTTAGCCATAAGGAAGATCTGCAGCTCAGTTCATTTATAGGCAATAGAGTATAATGTCTTGGGAAGCTTTCAGGAAGTAAAGCTTCAAATCCACAAGAGAAAATCGGAAACCGGGGGCTGGAGATATGACCCTGACCCCGGGGTCTGCCCTTCTCTCTGGGGGGAGGGAAAGAAAAGTGAACAAATAAATGAGCTGGAGTTAAACTGTTTACACACTGATGAAAAAACTCCCTGGGTGTCGGATGTGGTCGCGCAGGAAATGTTTTGTAACTGGAGAAACCCCAGCTTCTCACGGGGACATCCTCCCCTGATGAGAACTTCCCTCCTTCACTAAATCATAGCACCGGCCTGTCCCATTGCGACTGGGCTCTACAAGTCAATCTTTCCGACTGGCCCAACTGCCTCCTCCCTGAGCCTCCAACTTCCAGTAACCAGCAGCTGAAATACCAGCTTCAGAGCCACCGGCCGGTTTCAAAGGCCTGAAAGCAGATCAAAACGTGCTGAAGGGAAGAAAATGCATCCAACTGTCTTACTGGGCTTATTAAGTAACACGGAGAGCGGGCCAACAGGACCGGCCACCGACAACTGAGACTTCCTAGCAGAGACATAAACAGGGAATTCCCAGCACACACCCCTGTCCGCTGAGCTCCTGAAACACGCGGACACGGGCTGGCACTTGGCATGATTAACACCTGGGTTAATCCACCACACTCGGAGCCTGCGATCAGTTGCGGGTCAAACATTAGTAGGGCTGGGGGGGGGGGGGGCGGGGGGGGAGGTGGGAGGCTTCCCATGCAGGAGGCCTGGCTTGATCATCTGTCCCCGACCCCAACGCAGGGAGTGACCCTGAGCACTGCCTGGCGGGATCCACTATCAGGAAGGCCACCGGATTCTATTTTTTGGCTGGGGGGGGGGGTGTCACACCCCGCAGTGCTGCGGCTTAACCCCGGGTTCTGCGCTCAGGGGTCACTCTTGGCGGGCTGGAGGGGACTCCACGAGACCCCGGGTGGGCCGCGTGCAAGGCAGGCAGGTGCCCTCCCGGCCGCACACTGAGCAGCGGGCGAGCCTCCCAGCCCGCCCCGCCCCCACCCCGGGGATCTGTCCCCGGGGCCCGCGCGCCACCTACCCTTGGCCAGCGCCTCCTGGTACTTCTCCTCGGTGGCGTTCAGGTTGTTGACGTAGGTGGCGTGGTGCTTGCTGTGGTGCAGCTGCATGATCTGCGCGTTGATGTGCGGCTCGAGCGCGCCGTAGTCGTAGGGCAGGTCGGGGAGGCTGTGCTTGTGCCGGGCCCCCAGGGCGCCCAGCAGCCTCGGGCTCGCGCTGCGGACACACGGCACCCACCGCTCACTTCCCGCCGCCCCGGCCCCGAAGGTGCCCTCGGGCCCTGCCCGCCGGGCCCGGACGCGGCTGGCCCGGGAGGACCCGGCGCGCAGCAGGCGGCCGCCGTCCGCGCCACGGGCCCCCGGGTGCCGGCCCCCCGCCTCCCGCCTGCGCCCCGCCGGCCGCCCGCCTCACCTGCACGCCGCCCGGCACAACATGGTGGCGACCGCTGTCCTCCGGCCTTGGCCGAGCTCGGAGCCGCGACAACAGTCCAGGAGTCGCGCGTCCCGGGCGAGCAGCAAGGGCACCACGCGACTCCGCCCCGGCGCGCCCAGGCCCCGCCCCAGTGCGTCGCGACTCCGCCCCAGCGCGTCCAGGCTCCGCCCTCAACGCGTCCAGGCCCCGCCCCAGTGCGTCGCGACTCCGCCCCAGCGCGTCCAGGCTCCGCCCTCAACGCGTCCAGGCCCCGCCCCAGCGCGTCGCCGCTCTTCCCTAAAGCGCCCAAGCCCCGCCCTCAGCTCCTTCAGGCTGCGCCCTCAACGCGTCCAGGCCCCGCCCCAGTGCGTCGCGACTCCGCCCCAACGCGCCCAGGCTCCGCCCTCAACGCGGCCAGGCCCCGCCCCAGTGCGTCGCGACTCCGCCCCAGCACGCCCAGGCCCCGCCCCAGCGCGTCGCGGCTCTTCCCCAACGCGCCCAGGCTCCGCCCTCAGCTCCTTCAGGCTTCGCCCCAGCGCGTCGCGTCTCAACCCCAACGCGTCCACGCTCCGGTCCAGGCTCCGCCCAGCGCTTCGCGGCCCCGCCCCCAGCACGTCTAAGCTCCATCACAGGGCGCCGCAGCCCCGCCCTCAGAGCACCTAGACTCCGCCCCGATCGTTTACGCTCCGCCCCAGAGCGTCTAGCTCCGCCCCTCCGCCCGCCGCTCTGAACCCCGGAGGGAGCTGCGTGGCTTCAGAGTCTGTCCCCTGCACATTGCGCGATAGCCACTAACTAGGCTCAGGAAATGCGAGAAAATATCAGGGACTATGCGGTTACGGTGGACCTGGGGACGGCGGTGCCGCTTTCCTAGTTTCTGGCGCGTGCCCACGGGACGGTCTCTGTCACCTCCTCCCCTTGTGCGATGGTACGGCCCTAAGCCCCGCCCCGGCCCGCCCCGGCCCGCCCCGGCCGGCCCCGCCCCGCCGCGGAGACCCTTGACTTCCTCAAGTCCAAGTGCTCAAGGACGCATGCGCGCGCCAGTGACGTCCCGGGGAAGGCGGAACCCCGGCGCGGTAAGGGCCGGACCAGTGCCCTCCCGCGCGTGCTCGGTCCCTCATCACTGTCCCCAGTGACCTTTCTTCGGAGTGGTCGACCTTGGCGCGCGGCAGAACCGTGGGCTCCTGATACAGGGCCCCTGGACAACGCCGATGTGCTGTGGGGGGCTGACATCCTTTCCTCCTTTCACCCTAGCGTCCGAGTGACCCCAGGTGACACGCTTGGTGCCCCAGAGGTGGTTTCCTGACTGCCCTATTAACCCATTAACGTGGTTAATCAGTGAAAGAGTCATGATTAAGGCCCAAAGTTCGCAGCTTCTTGATTACGTGGAATAAAGTTATATCAACCTCTTGCTGACTCTGATCAATAGCCCGCTAAGAAGGACACCAGGGTCAGACTGGCAGCTTTGTACCTCACTTCCTTCAAATGGAAATCCATCCTCGATCCTACTAGCCAAAATGAGGCATCTGTCAAAAACGGCTAAATAAATTTTAAATTCTTCCGGCCTGTCCAGAAACTGGGGATATTTTGGTCATTTTTCCCATCCTCCACCCAAGTCCACTGCAAAGGCAAAGCAGTGCCAAGGTGGCCAGGAGAATGACCCCTGGTGAACAAGAGCGCAAACACAGGACCCTTATACTAACTACAGCAGGAAGGGCGTTTGCCCTGCACTCAGCTGACCTGGGTTCTATTCCCGGCATCCAAATGGTCCTGAGCGTCACCAGGAGTGATACCTGAGTGCAGAACCAGTAGTAGCCCCTGAATATCATTGGGTATTGTACGATAACATTGCTTTGTCCTTTCTCCCTTGCCACAAGGTGCTTAGGTTTATCGAGTCACACCCATCAAAGTGCTCCCGAGTCACTCTCATTCTTTTGTTCATTTGACTCTTCTCTATGCTCTCTTCCCCAAACAGTTAATCAGCTTATTCCCCTAATAAGTTTCTGTTAATTTGTAAACTCAGATCTTTCTAGGACACTGAAGTTACATTGTAAGTTAATATTGCCTTTCTCCTCTCTTATGTCTTTTGAATACTCTATTTTTTAATTTATTTATTATTTATTTATTTTTGCCTTTTGGGTCACACCCAGCAATGCTCAGGGGTCACTCCTGGCTCTGCACTCAGGAGTTACTCCTGGCGGTGCTTGGGGGACCATATGGGATGCCAGGGATTGAACCCGGGTCAGCTGCGTGCAAGGCAAACGCCCTACCCGCTATGCTATTGCTCCAGCCCCAGTACTTTACTTTAAAGCAATGTTCTTTCGTATAAGCACAAGAAGACAATTAATATTATGCTTTTGTAACTGTAGCACTGTCTCCCAGTTGTTCATCGATTTGCTCCAATTTGCTCCATCGGGCCCAGTAAAGTCTCCATTGTGAGATTTGTTACTGTGTTTGGCATATCGAATACATCATGGGTAGCTTGCCAGGCTTTGCTGTGCAGGCAGGATACTCTCGGTAGCTTGTCGGTCACTCTGAGAGGGGCAGAGGAATTGAACCTGAGTTAGCCGGGTCAGCCGCGTGTAAGACAAACACCCTACACGCTGAGCTATCGCTCCAGCTTTTATAACATGGGATTTAATTGGCTTCAAATATTATTAATTCCCGGGCATCTGCTTTCTCAACTTAAGTCTCAGCTGCCCTTACTTCCTAGCACCCCCAAAAGCAGGGTCCTGACGAGGGACTGGATGTAACCAGGGCAAGCAGTAAGCTGTGTGCTACCCTGGCATAGAGATGTGTCTGGCCAAAGCGCCACAATTCTTAACTATAAATTAAGAGCTTGATCATGACAAACTCCGTCATGATCCAAAAGTAACAACGAGATTAGGACCCTGCTAGGAATAGGAAAGACTAATCTGGCCTGAGCACTGTAGTCTGAGATCGAGATGACCCCAGGAGAGCAATTCTATAAGCTTAGTGCATCTCTGACTGTGTCCATACAAAATGATTAATATTATGAATGCTTATATGTTTGTTGGACAAGGAGAGGAGAAACACATCCATGGGATTTTGCCCTTGGGTGGGCCGTCCTGCTGAAAGAGAATCTGTCAGTAGAGGTAGCAACCCCTGAGGGAAAGAACTTTACCCCTGTTGATTGTGACCACACCTATGTGTAAACTCAGCCTCTCGTGGTTTGGGGATTTAACAAGACTGTAAGAGTGGGCTGGGGGGAGAAGATCAAGTGTGAGATCAAGATCCAGAGCCAGGAAAGAGGGGTCCAGATTGGGGCCCTGGAGAAAAGGAGAGAGAGAGACAGGAGTGAACGGGGATGAGAATGGAACAAACGGCATCTGATCAATCAACCAGGTTGGCCTGAGCTTCCTCCATAGTCTGCCCCATGGCCTGGGCCCCCCAGAACCTGAGCGGCCAGGGGAAGAGCCGTCGGGGCCACCCCCTGGCCGCCGTTGGAGTTTTTTTTACAGGGTGTGATCTTTAAAAAAAAGTACAAGCACAACTAAAGGAAAGCAATGCCCCCTCCCCCCCCAAACACACACACAAGTCAGCCCCGTGTGCAAACAACCACACGCAGGGTGAAGCAGGGTGTGTGGGAGCCTGGGTCAGGCAACAACAGGGAAAGAGAAAAGGGGGGTGCATTTCAAAACACATAAGAGACCAAAACCCTTTTCACAAATGGGGCCAAAATCCAAGAATAAAGTCTCTGGCCCTCCCACAGATGAAGCCGAAGCCAAAGAAAGGCCAAGAAAGCAATGCCGAGGGGCATCCACAGTTGCAAAAATAAATATCCACAACTCGCCCACCTTCCAAAGACCAAAAATGCTGGCACTTAATGGGCAGTTCCAAGGCCCTGGGAAAAGCATTCCCAGGAGGAAGAACTTGGCTAGTGTCAAGTTCTCTCTGCTGGCTGAGTCCGCTGTGAAAAGGAGAGAAAACGAGGCAACCTGCGTGAGAGGTCAGGTGGCTGGGCGGCCCCAAATCCTCTTCCCAGGATCTTTTCTGCCCCACATCAAGATACCATCGACGTAGATTTTCCTAGAATAAACCTTCTTGGCTCTAAGGCTTGCTGGGGATGGTGGCCGGCGAGTGAACAAGTGACATTCCCAGAACCAAAGACCACCCTGCCCCCAGCGCAGAAGACAGGACTCATGGCCCACCTGGACCGGAAGCCCCCAGGCTGCATTCCGCGCTTCCTCACATCCATCCCCGACATAACAGGCCAGACCACGCACACTGGATCCACTGGTCTTTGTTTCCTTCTCCCCTTTACCCGCCCACTGTAGCACTGTAGCACTGTCCTTCTGTTGTTCATCGATTTGCTCGAGCGGGCGCCAGTAACGTCTCACAACAAATTGTGAGACTTGTTGTTACTGCGTTTGGCATATCGAATACGTCACAGGTAGCTTGCCAGGCTTTGCAAGGCGAAATATTCTCAGTAGCTTGCCAGGCTCTCTGAGAGGGGCAGAGGAATTGAACCCGGGTTGGCCACGTGCAAGGCAAACACCCTACCCGCTGTGCTATCGCTCCTGTCCAAGACAACTCAAGAGTCCCCTTGTTTCTCCCAGAACGAGCTCTACCCCAGCCTCAGGGGTTCATAGAATTCCATCCGGGAGTGCACCTCAATAAACTGCTCCTAAAAAAAAAATAAATAAAATAAAATAATTAAAAAATAAACTGCTCCTATTTCCTTCACTTTATTCGTCTCTGTCCCTCTCTCTGCGCCAGACAGAATTCTCAAATCTCTCACAGGCTAGTTCAAGCCATCCTCAGACCCAGACTTCATGCTCCAAAACTGGGCCCTGAGCAAAGGCGAGAGCTCCGTTTTACAGAACATCTGATGCGAGCTGGGGTGCTTGCAGGCAGCTGGCAGGAGAGTACGGAAGTTCTCAAATGCATGAGCTGCAAGTTAAGGACGAGACCACCTCAAGGATTTGAGCGCATCTGGGATCTGTTTCCAGGTTTCCTAGGTTACAGAGCGGGACTTGTCCACCTCAAGGCCCTCCCGAATGCACCACATGGTTCTGCGATGTCGCCTGGACTCAGCTTCCCCTTGGCAGTTCCTGCCCCCTGGCATTACCCTGCTTGAAGTAAGACTGTTTAAAATGTGGGCTGTTATCCCCGACACCAAATC